GGCACGCTCCAGTCTCAGCAGCAGCGTCTCCAACTCCTCCTCTGAATGAGCAGCTATTACCAAATCATCGGCATACATAACGTGGTTGAGCAATAGGGAGCCATCCCTTGACCGCACCCGGGCATCGATCAGCCTCCCATTAAATCTGTACCATATGGAGATTCCCCTGGTTCAGCTATTGAAGGCTTCACGAACTACTTGGTCAAAATAGATGTTAAATAATGTGGGAGCCAGAGGACATCCCTGTCGCACCCCAAGGTGTACAGGGAATGGCTCTGACTCCCGGCCACGTAGTTTTACCCGGGCCTGCTCACCATCATGAAGGTCCTTAATGATCGTGAGCAGAGGGTCAGGTGCTCCAAAAGCACGAAGAACAACCCAGAGCCCAGGCCTACTGATGGTATCATAGGCCTTGACCAGGTCAATAAAGCAGAGATGTAGGTCTTGTTGGAATTCCCTACACCTCTGCTGTAGCAGACGGACAGAAAATATGGCATCTGTGCAGGACCGCCCTTTCCTAAAACCGCATTGGGGCTCCGCAAGCCTCTCCTCAGCGTGCCTGGCAAGGCGATGTTGAATAATCCTTGCCAGGACCTTTCCCGGCACACTGAGGAGGGAGATGCCCCTGTAGTTGTTACAGTCTGTGCGGTCCCCCTTCTTAAAAAGGAGGACCACCAGGGCATCCTTCCAATCCTGCGGAACCCGTCCAGTGGTCCTGACTGTTCTTGTGATGTCATATAGGGCAGTCTGTGCACAAACGCCACCCTCCCTCAGCACTTCGCTTGAGAGATCATCTCTGCCCACTGCCTTTCCTGGTCTCAGACTCCGGATCGCCTTCAGTACTTCCTCAACAGATGGCACCTCAGCCAGCCGCTCACAGGGGGTGACTTATTCCAATATTTGAGGCACCGCAGCCTCAGCAGGGTCATCCTCACTTTGTGCCACGTTGAGTTGTACGCCCTTTTGGCGTCTTCTGGTCCAACACCAATGGAGACTAGGCTCTAAGAAAAGCCGTCTCGGGTGTGGACCAATCAAATTCAAGGACAGTGCATATTATTATCAGAGTTGTCTTTTTTTGTTTGCATTTTGACTGCTTGTGCTGTGGTTATTGCAAACATGATGCCTTGAATAAAGGTGTCAGTTTTTTCGTGCCAGTTAAAAGGGTAAAACCTATTCCTATATCTTGTTACTGGCAAAGGAGGTCTCATAATGTAAATGCTCACCCCGAGCCTTCAATACTCTGATAGTGCGCTGTTTTTGAGTTGTACGCCCTTTTGGCGTCTTCTGGTCCAACACCAATGGAGACTAGGCTTTAAGAAACGCCGTCTCGGGTGTGGACCAATCAAATTCAAAGACAGTGCATATTATTATCAGAGTTGTCTCTTTTGTTTGTATTTTGACTGCTTGTGTTGTGGTTATTGCAAACATGATGCCTTGAATAAAGGTGCCAGTTTTTGTGCCAGTTAAAAGGGTAAAACCTATTCCTATATCTTGTTACTAGCAAAGGAGGTCTCATAATGTAAATGCTCACCCCGAGCCCTCAATACTCTGATAGTGCGCTGTTTTTGAGTTGTACGCCCTTTTGGCATCTTCTGGTCCAACACCAATGGAGATTAGGCTCTAAGAAAAGCCGTCTCGGGTGTGGACCAATCAAATTCAAGGACAGTGCATATTATTATCAGAGTTGTCTTTTTTTATTTGCATTTTGACTGCTTGTGTTGTGGTTATTGCAAACATGATGCCTTGAATAAAGGTGTCAGTTTTTGTGCCAGTTAAAAGGGTAAAACCTATTCCTATAGATGTTTTCCTGGCTGAGGGATTTTCCCTCCCCCAGGACCTCACAGAAATGCTCAGCAAATCTTCAAACCTGTTCCTGGGGGTCGGAGATTGGATCACCGTTTTTTCCCCTAATGATGGTAATAGGTGTGGCGCTGCAGGTTACTTTTTTGGAGTTAAATAGAGATTTGCGATCACGGGCCACTGAGGCAGACTCCATCTCCTCAGCAACCCGCGACCACCACCCATCCTTGCAGTGCCTCACGGCTCTCCGAACCTCCGAGCGAAGACTGCGGTAAGCCTCCTCATTCTCTGACGTGGGATTCTGTAGCCGATGACAGTGGGCCTGTCGCTTTTTCTCAACCATCCTGAACACCTCCTCTGTCCGCCAGGGTCTCTGGGGAGGTCTGGACCGCGTACCCAAAGCAGCCATTGCAGCTGAATGAGTCACAGTCCTAAACCTCGCCCATTTACCCTCGACATCAGGAGGAGTCGGGGACGATGCCAATCCCAGCCGCAAGCGATGATGAAATTCTCGCTTGCAGCTTTCATCAGATAACTGAGACCAGGCCACTTTAGGTTGGAATGGGGTCCTGGGTGTACACCTACCACCGGAGTGGAAGAATGGCAGGCGCATCTTACAGATGACTAGTCGATGGTCAGAGGGCAGATCAGCTCCACGGTAGGTCCTGGTGTCAAGGACATGGGCTCGCATCCGCTGGTCCGTCACTATGTAGTCCAGCAGATGTTCTTGCTTGGACCCGGCATGCATCCATGATGTGTGGATGCGCCGATGCCGGAACAGCGTGTTGGTAATAACAAGCCCATGGGCTGCACAAAAATCTAGCAGCCTCCTACCGTTGTTATTGAGCTGATCTGACCCATGCCCTCCAATTACTCCAGACCAGGTGCCAGCATCATGACCAACTCGGGCATTGAAGTCACCCAACGTGATGACTCTATCCCGAGGGGCCATTTTAGCCAGCATCTGTGACAGGAGGTCATAGAAGGCATCTGACTCATCGGCTTTGCCTGCATCCCTCCACGGATGTTCATCTTCAGTGGGGGCATAAGTAACCACGACCACCATTCCTCGCCTCTGGTTGATGGGAAGGCGAGCCCAAAGTAGCCTGGGGCTTACAGCTTACCACACCTCACCGCCACGCTCCCACGCCCCCTTCATTCTTTTCTTCAAAAGAAGAGCCACACCCTGTTGTTTGGCAGTCTGCTGCCCCGAGTAGAGGACTGTCCACCCCTCATGGTGGCAGGAGCCAGAGCCGGTCCACCGGACCTCCTGAATGCCACACAGATTCACGCTGTACCGGTCCAGCTCCCGACAGAGGAGTGGCAGCCTTTCCTCCGCAGTAAGCGTTTGAACATTCCATGTGGCCACCCATAGTGGTTTTTCGTTGTTTCTGGAGGAGCCTCGAGGGTAGATATTCAATCTCCTGGCTTCGCCAATTGGGGTTTGGCCAGGAGACGTCATAGAAGCCTGGCCCCCGGGGCCTCCGGCACAAGGTTATTAGTTATATACGTAATTCGTGGTTTAGTGGTAATTAATTGAAGTTGGAGGGGTTACCAGCCCCTCGCACCCGTCCAGAGCCCCCGTTTAGCCCCTGTGGTGGACACAGATGCCATGAGGGGAGGAGCCAATCTAGATTGGACCTCCCCCCACAGCACTGTCCACGACAGAGTTGTCCGTCCGGCACCACGAGGAGGTAGGGGGTTGTTTTGCCGGACTCTCACACTATCTCACACTGTCTCACACACTCTCACACTCAGTCTCACACACTATCACACTGTTTTACAGACTCTCACTATCTTACACACTCTCAAACTGTCTCACACACTAGCTTACACACTTTTAAACTGTTTCTCACTCTCATACTCTGTTCACACACTCTCACACTATCTTTCACACTCTCACACTATCTTACACACTCTCACACTGTCTCACATCCTCAAACTGTCTCATACTCTCTCACACACTCTCGCACTGTCTCACACACTCTCATACACTCTACTTTACACACATTATACTGTCTCATATACACAGTGTCTCACAAACTCTCACACCGTGTCCCACTCACACACACTTTCACACTAACTCACTTACTTTCACACTCTGTCTCACCCACAGACTCGTCTCAACCACTCTCACACTATCTCTCTGTCTCACACTGTCTCAGGCACACTCACACACTCGAACAGTGTGTATCACACACACACTCTCAAACTCTCACACTATCTCACACTCTGTCTCACACACTCTCGCACTGTCTCACTCACACACTCTGACACTTTCACAGACTCTCACTATCTTACACACTCTCACACTGTATCACACTCTCACACTGTCTCACACTCTCAAACTCTCTCACACACACACACTGTCTTTCACACTCTCACACTGTCTTACACACTCGCACACTGTTTCACACACTCTCAAACTCTCACACTCTGTCTCATACTATCTTACACACTTTAAAACTGTCTCACACTCTCATACTCTGTTTCACACACGCTCACACTATCTTTCACACTCTCACACTCTGTCTCACACACTCTCACACTATCCGATACACTCTTAAACTGTCTCACATTCTCAAACTGTCTCAAACACTCTCACACTATCTCACACTCTCTGTCTCACACTGTGTCTCAGGCACACTCACACACTCATACTCTGTCTCACACTCTCACACTATCTCACACACTATTAAACTGTCTCACACTCACACTGTCTCACACACTCTCACACTATCTTACACACTTTTAAACTGTTTCTCACTCTCATACTTTGTTTCACACACTCTCACACTATCTTATACACTCTCAAACTGTCTCACATCCTCAAACTCTCTCACACACTCTCGCACTGTCTCACTCACACACTCTCATACACTCTACTTTACACACACTATCACACTGTCTCATATACACAGTGTCTCACAAACTCTCACACCGTGCCCCACTCACACACACTTTCACACTAACTCACATACTTTCACACACTCTCACCCACAGACTCATCTCAAACACTCTCACACTATCTCACACTCTCTGTCTCACACTGTGTCTCAGGCACACCCATACACTCTAACACCGTGTCTCTGTCACACACACTCTCATACTCTGCCTCACACTGTCTCACACTGTGTCTCAGGCACAGTCACACACTCTAACACCGTGTCTCTGTCATACTCCCACGCTGTGTCGCAAACCTGATTGTGTCCATGTTGCTCTATGTTTAACCATGGCAAGGAAGTGACCCCTGCAGCCACCACGGCACACACAGAAGAGCAGCAGCAGCGATTGCAGTCCCGCACCGAGCCCACGACTCCCTTTACCTCCTCTGCAGCTTCAACTCCTCACTCGCACTCGACTCGCACAGTTCGTGCCCGTGCACTCTGAAGACCACGGCAGTGAGGCTAAAGGTGGAACGAAATGATGCGAGGCCAAATTTCGTTGCCGGGGTGGGGGGAGTCGTCGTCCCCCTCCCCCATATATGCGATGTGACCCCATATTAGGAAGTGGCATTCAGTTAACGCCACACACCCACGCCAGCCCTTTCTGGGCTTGCAATACCAAAGGATGCTGATTCGATCTCTCTGCGGTCGTTGAAAGTGATGCAAGTGTACGGTATTAAATCGCACGCCGCCTTTTCTCTCTATCCACCCAGCACGGCCGTTCGGTTGCGGGAGCAAAGCAATTTCAGGGCTTACTGTATGTTGCATTGTTATGCGATGCACAGGGGCCCAGTCGGTCACAAGGGGGCCCCCAATCAACAGATAAACAAGTAAGGGGCCGTCCATAAATGACGTCACGCACCTAGGGGCGGAGGGGTCAGACATTTGTGACGATGTGTGACGAGGGTTGGAGGGGTTTGAGATATGTGACGTCACATAAAAATGCGCAACTTTAAATAAATATAGGCAACACGTTCTACTTAACAAATTAGCCTTTTTAATAAATGTTTTCTCCGACAACAGAGTGCAGTGCCACATTAAATACGCCCTACAATGACAATAGTTTAAAGCGATTTGAAGCATGTTTTATGTTTGGGGGGCAGAGCTTTGTGATGTCATATTTGAGGGGGGGTCTGATTTTTTGTGACGCCGTGTGACGATGGGGGGAGGGGGGGGTCGAAAATCGTCCAAAAACGCGTGACATCATTTATGGACGGTCCCTGAAACATGTAAAAAATGTTTTTTTATTCATTCAAATTACCTGCGTTCTACCATAACCAAGCCCAATTCAAACGCATCCTGGCTGTCAAATCAATATAACGGTATATAGTTGCGCGATCCACTGCCTTTGACGAAATCCTAAACCGATGGGGCCGGCATGAAATCAAGACGCACGATAAATTAACTGTGAGTATTGTTACCTGTGCATACGTCGTGAGTTAAACTGAGTCGTAGACGTACTCTTGGAGGCAACAAATTTATTTAATACCAACACGGGTAGCTGTCCCTTAACAGAATAACAACCGATGGTGGTGGCTAACTACACGACAGATAGTCACTGAGTTACGATGGTCCGACTTACGATATTTCGATTTTACGATGGCGATAGCGATATGACAAAATTGTCAAATATTTTAAATTTCGTGCGGCAAGCAAATGCAGCAGCGTACAAATCTTGTCGAGTACAGTACAATATGATGTGTTACGATACGTTCAATGCATGTATGATACGTAGCTTTAGCGATTTCATTTTAGGGTTACCACGATACGATACGTTCAATGCATGTTAAAAGTTTTTTTTTTATAGCCAATTGGGTTGCTTCCTGAAAAAAACTTTCTATTAAATTGCAGTTCATATAGGTATGCTAAGAATTTACCTTGTTTTTTACTTTACATTTTACTGTGCAATACAGTATTGTAATTAATAAATACATCCAGTATATAGTTTATACAGTACGGTACTGTAAATTGCTCTGTTTTGATAAATTATCACCATCCATTAAGACTCCTGGGTAGGCTAGGCCATCATCGACTTACGATATTTTTGACTTACGATGGGGTCGTCGTAACTTATCTCCATCGTAAGTAGAGGACTACCTGTAAGTACAATGTAACGAGCTACTACGGACCGGGACCACAGCTCGGGTCCAGGTCCACGTGTTGGAGACTCAGAGAACGTAGAACGTTGACGAAGGTTTCTTCAGGATGAAAAACAGCAGCCGGTCCCTCTGGGGGACCCTGCTTATATTCTCTACGGCGTGGCCGGCTCCCCCCCTCTCTCTTACCCCCTTGCCCCTCCCCCCTTTCTTACCTAATATAACCTCTTACCACGGCATCTCTCTCCCACTTCAGCAAAAAATGTTATTGCTGTGGTTCCCCACCTGATGATGATTGCTTGTGTTGTGATCGAAACGTCGTGATTTATTTCATTTTATACGTACGTGACTTTACCGAAAGAACCAAAGAGTATGGATTCCTGCAGTCACGAAAGCTTCAAATCTAGATTATAACTACGGATGTTTTTAACCCCGTGTAATGTATGCAGTAATTATACTGCATACATTATTTTAGTTGCACCGTGTATTGGGGGTTTAGAGGAAGACAGTCTCACAATGCCAATATTAATTAAAAACATACTTTTTTCAAGGTACAAAACGCCTGGTGGTGTTCGGCAACAAATGCCAGTAGCGACGACTATATTTTACACTGTGTTTTTCGGAAATAGATTTTTTTAAACCTGGAACAATGTTTTTTTTGGCATTTATATATAATTGTTGGAATTAAAAAAAACATCTTAACACTTGTTATTTATCTGTTGATTCTGGCCCCCCTCGTGGGCGACTGGGCCCCTATGTGTCTCATAATGCTGCCACATCACCCCCCCCCCCCCATAGTTACGCCCCTGCTAGCTACTTCCATTAATGGTCAGGCTCAGCAGTCCCCCACAGGGATGCACGCTGTCTGTTCTACTTCTCCCTCTATCAACCCCGGCCCAGAGGTTGCGCAAGCTCTGCAGGAAACTGTGAAACTCTCCGATGCGTGATACGAAAACACGGGCGGTTTGAGTGTGGCCATGAGATTCGACAATCCCCTGACATTACTGTAACTCTCACCATCATCAAAGACAAATATCTCTCCTATAGCCTGAACAGACTGTTGTGAAGCGCTTTTGGCGAGCACCTATGAAGGCCAGCATTACACACGAGGGGGTGGGTGGCCAGCACCACGCCCGGGCCGCCTTTGTCTCCCCAGTGACGATGTTTACACACCAAACCAGATACTCATTATAGGCTCAGGCGACCTAGGAGAGGCTCAGGATCAGTTCAGATGATGGCCACTGGTGTTAGCCATGAGCAGGTATCGAACTCGTGTCACTGGGTTCGTAGCACAGTGCACTAACTGCGACACCACCGCTCTCCACCACCACCATCACTATCAGCCATAGCATATCCACTGCAGCAGTGGACAGGCCATGGCTGACGGTGTGTAACACAATTCCGGATGGTCCATTATTGCTATTAACCGATTTAACTGGATTGTAATAAGGTGCTCAGGATAGTAAGATGCCACCCATAGCTCGGGGCGCCACGGTGGCATGTTCTACCCGTGGTCGTGTGGATTTTCCTCCGGGTCCTTTTTTCCCTCCACATTTAGAATCAACATGGGTTTAGAGTATTTGGCTGCTATACATTTCCTTATAATAAGCCACTTCGTTGAGCTATCATTTGTGACCAGGTCGCTTCTGAAATAAGCTGCATTTCTCAGTGGGCCTTAACCTGGTAAAAATAAAGTTTTTAGTTTAGTTTTTGTCAATAACATGATAAAAAAATGGAGTCACATACACACCTCGACTGGATGATAAAAAGACGCCCAAATGAGGTTATACTTGTGTAGCGGGTTCAACTAAGTCGCAGACGTACTCTTGGAGGCAACACATTTATTTAACAACAACACACGGGGTAACTGCCCCTTAACAGAATAACAACCGATGGTGGTGACCACCAGGCCAACTACACTAATTACTACGTAACTAGCTACAATGGACGAGGACCACAGCTCGGGTCCAGGTCCACGTGTTGGAGACTCGGAGAACGTAGGACGTAGACGAAGGTTTCTTCAGGATGAAAAACAGCAGCCGGTCCCTCTGGGGGACCCGGCTTATATCCTCTGTGGTGGGGCCGGCTCTGCCACAGGCCACGACCACCTTCCAGAACCCTCTAGCAGGATCTCGACCCGGACCACGTGACCACCCCCAGCCCCCACTTGGGGCGCCTCTGTAGACTGAACTGGTCACGTGTCCTCTTGGGTAACCCCTTCCCTATGGCCAGCACTCGCACATCCAATCCTCTAGGGCTGGCATTGCACGCCAAGCGTGATGGCATCCAGCGCTGTAAATCAGCACTGACCGAGCCCCTCTAGGGCCGGTACTGCACCCGGTGTCTGCGATGTCAAGATACCGCACGCCATGCCTCACTCGGGTCGGCATACACAGTGACATCCCGCGATGTTACTACACTTGATAGCCTAAACAACAGTGGCTAGGTGCCACGTGTAGCCGTTCCTTATTCGGTGTCGCTGACATAGAGACAGACCTGACTGTGGTTACCCCTGGTGTTGTTGCCTGGAATGGATTTCAGCACGCCCGGGTTTCATAGTACAGTTCGCTTATACCATTGCACCGTCCCTCCCCACCACTGATAGACACACAATACAAAGATCCCCCGTATAGTCTTAATAGACTGTTGGGGAAAGTGCTTCTAACGAGCAGCATTTATGAAAGTGGACACGGCACACCGAATGGGTGGGTGGCCATCACCACACCTGGCCGCCTTTGTCTCCCCAGTGCTGATGTTTGCACACCACTTATTTGGGGCTGAGTCAAGCTAAGGGAGGTCTAGAATCTGTTCGAAAATTCATCACTGATGGTAGCCATGAGTGAGAATCGAATTCGGGTAATAATGCAGTGCACTAATTCACTGCGCGACTGCTCTCCCAGCGTCAGAAAACAAGGCCAGAGACTCAAGAGTAGCGCATTTAAAAGACGAATTTAGTCATGGGCAGTCATGATGACGTCATTTATTGGAAAACTCACTCATTTAGAAAGTGTAATAAATGTCAAATTGTAACGCTGTAACGCCACCATCGCTCCTGGCCACCACAGTACAGTTTTCCTCCGACCTGGCACCCAAAGCACCACTGGTAGACTGTGTGTGTGGCACTGCGCTGTGTTTGTCACATTGCACAGTGTGTGTCACAGCGGTCCGTGTGTGTGACATGTGTCACAGCGCTCCGTGTGTGTGACAAAGGACAGTGTGTGTTTACCACTGCATCATATGTGGCACACTGAACTGTATGTGACACTGCACCGCGTGTGTGTGTGTCACATTGCACATTGTGTGTTTCACGTTACTGTGTCACACTTCACCGTGTGTGTGGCACTGTAGGGTTTGTCACATTGCACCATGAATGTGTAATACTGCACTGTCTGTATGTGTATCACACTGCGTCGAGAGTGAGTGACAATGCATAGCCTATGTGCCACTTTGCACAGTGTGTCACAATGCACCCGTGTGTGTTATACTGCCCAG